GATCTTTCTCATTAGAACGATTTTACACCGGTTAGTCACCCAGCTAGGTGGCGCACACCAATTTGCTTAAACTGAGATTAAACGCGGACAACAAACAGTTATGAATAACATTTGGCTTTGACGCAGGTGAATTCGGTGAAACAGCTCCCTATGTCTACTGCATTGGAATAACTAGCCCCTATCTGAATACAAGCATATGCATAGTTGTGGAATTTTGCCTGCACGTATGTGGTTGTGCTCCCTAAGTCGATTCGAGCAAGACTCTGCAATCATAGGATTGTAAAATAAACGGCTGGCAATTTAGGTTAGCCTAGAACAAAAGAGCCTCACGTTTAGTCAGGGATAGCCAGACAAGCTATCCAACAATATATGAGGACTCTCCTCTGCAAAAGCAGGGCGAAGAACCCAAGTCGACCGCGAAACACCTTATAGAGAAGTTCAATCACATTCAAGCAGACATTCCCATTGTACTTCCGATTTCACATTATGCAATATTCCATTCATTTCCCCTTCATATGCTTCCCATTCTTCCACCAGTTCCTGTATACTGAGATAATGACATCCCTTGTGTTTAAAACATCATTCGGCCACATCGATAAAAGGCAAGGGTGTCTAGAGATTATTATCTATCGTTGTCTGCTCGTACAATCTTACATTCACTACATTGGGCCTAAATGTGTGCAAAATCATGGTTATAATTCATTGAACGTCCTTGACGCATCTCCTGGAACCCATACCCGGAATAGGCGGCTAACAATCTAAAAAAATTTAAAGGCTCGGAATTTCAACGAGCGGATGCTGTATAAAGTGAATGGTATTAATTTTTAACGTTTTTAATGATCATCGGCTCTTTTCAAGTACAAGGCAATCGACCTGTTTCTTTACTGTATTGCGTCACCAAACATAAACGAAAAACGGCAACAGTTGAATCATTGAGTGAGTTGCACTGCTCAAAACTGAAATTGCGCCGAGCGAAGGTCACGTCGACGGTTTGGAAATTGATCGCTAGTTTGATCAATCACAGCTTTCCGAACCTGGGTGAGCCACGAACTACCTCGAGGAAATCGACGAGATCTATCACAAACTTTAATATCTGTTTCCGACATAAGTAATCCAAAAGAGCTCAACCCTGTTCAACAGTATCACGCTGTTACTCGACATATAATCGATTCCACAAAGGCTGAACGAGCTAGATTACGAATCTTCATCCACCATTCTCGCCGGACTCTCGCCTTCAGGCTACCAGTTCTTCAAATATCTCGATAACTTCATGTGTGCGATACGCTTTAGAAATAAGTAGAACCGAAACTGCTCTCAACGACTTCATTTCTCCCACAGCTCCAGAGTATTACGCAACCGAAGTATATAAAATTTTTTCTCTATGGCAAAAAATGTATTGATTCTAACACTTTTCATTTTAATCAATAAAATTAGCTTTGAGTCGAGATATGCCAGTTTAAAAACATGCGTTAAAATCTCTATTTAGTTTTGGAACAATCTACTATAATGTGTACTGAGCTCTGTGTCTCAATGTAGCATGCCCTCACCAAAGTACCCTGCGACAAGATAAAAGAGTGAAAAGGGCTCATTCTTTTAAACCCTATGTCTCAGAAAAACTGCTGAATTTTCAACCAAATGAAGTAACACTATGATGGGCTTCCTCCACTTTACCAAAGCAAGAAGACGCCGCCCACTACACGCAATTTATGACAGCGAAGACAAGCTGTTCCTTGACGCACCCTCCAAATCAACCCTAGTAATGAACAGCGAGCAGGAAGAGCATTCTATTGCTTAGTACTTTTCCTCTTCCACGTAATTGAACAAATGTCATATTGGTCGACTTTCATGAAATACTTTCTCATCGTTTTGCTGTCCTGCGTTTCTCATTTCTTTAAGAATAAAGATAAAGGGTTGTTGAATGAACCCTAATGGATACGCTAAATATTTGAGTTTATCAAAAACCGTTAAAAATGATTGAATGCCAATCTGGACTGTACCTCGGCTCGTGGTGGCCCATCGATAAACTGCATCAGTTCTGCTAGCCCACCAGACAAGTTTGGTACCAATTTGCTGACTCTAGAAGGACGGAAGGCTTGTTGGCAGAATTGACTTCATGACGTTATGAGGAAAAAACTTGGGAGCCTACCTCAATTTTCACTACTGAAATCTCGTTGAAAAGCTACCCATCTATTAATCAATCATGGCGACAAGCAAATGGCCTTCAAAGTCACAAACGGCTTTCGCGTCACCCCCACTTATGTGTTCATTGGAGAACAGTCAAAAACGAACATTAAAGTTATATGAATATTTGGTGAACCTTCACTTCTTTATCAAAAGAAAACCAGCACTATTAAATACTACTCACCAAAATCTACTGCCGATGGTAGAAAACTTGTTACGTTTTGCAAAAATTGTGAGAAAGTCGTACGTGAGAAGAAATCCTTCCACAAAATTATCATGGTCGACATCATCATTTGAACAGAATTCATTTAAGGCACGAATACATAATCGAAAATTTTAAATTAGGATATTGAAATGAAGAACATTGAAAACAGAACCGTCGTGAGAGACTATTCTATGCAACCTACCCTTCCCAGAGAGTTTATCCTTTAAAAAGGAAGAGCGCCACCTTTTCACATGGTTATCCGGAAAAAGCATCTCTCATGCGAAAACCCGTCACATTGTTGTGATAAGATGAGTCCATTTGTTGAACGTCGGCGTATTCAAAAAAAAAATGTTGTTATTGGGTAAAAATAAGAAAGCGAGCCGTATACAACTAATCCATTCCCAGTGATGCTATAAGATCTTAAAAGGAGTAAAAGTGAAGGTCAGGCCAAAGACTATGGTATACTTCCGAAAGTTTTCTAAACCTTCACTAGGTTGCTGATCAAACAACAAACTTTGAAAAACGTTTAACTGGAAAGATTAGCTAACCTAAATATAGAAGATAAGTGTACGAAGGCCTTGCTGCTACTGAACTCGAACGAATGATTATCAACGTTGGAAGGGTTGATTAAAGTGCACAAGCAGCTCCATCGATACAGACAAGATTCCAGAGGCCGCACAAAATAAAGCAGGCATAAGTAAATGTTGCTGAGATCTTTACAAGCACAGTATTCAGGTTTTTTCTCCGCAGAACAATCCGTACCTGCTGCTGCCAACCGCGACAAGCCGTGATTATTGAATTTAAATAATAGCTGCTGAACGAATCCTTTCATTGATAAGCTAAGACGAGATTGATAAGCCATTTTATTCGGATAATGTTTCAACATCTACGTGTCTTCCTCAGAACAGATGATCCAAGTCGATATCCACAGTTTTTCGTCTGCTCAATGTGGTATCTTCGTCGTATGTCCGAGTCCGATCTTCTCCAGTGAAACACCGCTTCAATGAGGGAACCTCAGCTAGCCATACCTCCTTATACAAGACGCTCGTTGTTGATAATCGTGATTGTCCTGGTCAAAAGTCCGAAAATCTACACTGCAAAAGTCGGCATCACCTAGCACAGAGTACGAGGAAAATTAGCCGAATGAAATTGTTCATCCATCTAGTTTCAGCTTATCAATGAAAGAATCATATATTGCTTAGTTTTGTTGAGGCTGAAGGAAAGTCGGTGTTTGAAAAAATTGTTGAATTCAAAAATGTAAGCCGAAGCACCTTAATCAGGAAGCCTAGATTAGAGTAAACCAATACCAGAATCCACCACCGTCCTGGTATCAAAGTCGCATGGTGGCAAATCTCCCTCGGATCCACATGGGCTGCGATAGCCTGTGGCGGTAAAGATCTGGCGTAGACTTGCCAGACTGACCTTGTACAACACTTCTTTCATATCTGCTCTCATCACATCAAAGAAGTTATACGCAGTACATGGGAAGCTCAAACGATATCCAATAACTGCCAGTAATGTAGGACAGCTTTGAAAAATGGTGATTATGCTGGGACCCGCACAACCAGTGAGGACGGGCCGTCAGGTATCAAGCGACTATCACTTCTTCATGCACCTTTACATCTTCCTACGCTAGAAATGCTTCGCCAACCATGATGACGCAAAAATGCCTTCAACGAATTAATTGCTTCCAGAGGTCTAGAATTTAATGCAACTGAAAAAGGTAAACTTGTTTCCCGTTGACAAAAATTTGTAAACTCAGACGGTTCTTATTATGACTGATAAAGTTTTGTTTCAAACAAGTTATGACATTTTGGATAGCATAGTTTTAAACAGGGCGGATAGCACATTAGCAGTGGTGTCCGTCATGACAAGCATAGTGCTAGTTCGATTCCGCTTATCCTCAACCAAGTTTCTTTTCCCTACGGAGTAGGGAAAGTGGTACTGGATTTGTCTGGGAAAAAATCATTCCCTATAATCCAATTGGGAAGGCTCCAGCCTAGCCATCTGAGGACTCCAGGGAGAATTGCTCGAACAGCATTCTACGACATTCAAGATGAAATGAAAATACTCAAGCAGCAACCGAAGCCACACGTACAAGCTTGGAAGACCTTCGTGGACGATCGATGTGAGGAATCGAATTCAATGTGAGAAGTGCTGGCAACTACAATAGACGTGAAAACGGACCAAATAAAAAATAATAAAAAATAAAATAAAATGAGGGAAAAGCATTATATGTGAGTAGACTGTAGCCAATATTCAATGCGAGTTTTTCTAAGCTTCTGAATTATCTAAGGGAAAAAACAGTGATTGGATCTACTGAAAGACGGTTCCACGCAGCTTTCAAGAAAATACCATCTTTGACTGTGCACCATCGACTTGGATCATCGGTTCTAATGAAGGCGAAGATGTCGAAATATCGGCTGCATAAATTTTTCTGTCAATTTCGTGTAAGCTTGTCAATGTTAACACATATTATTATTTTGTTACTGAGGTTTGACGGCCGCTTTGAGAATTCTTATGCGATCTTTTACATAGGAGCATTTGATCATGCACTTTTCAGTGTAGGGCAGTTTCAGATCTCGTGTAGGTATTATTAGAGCCACGAATCTCTTCACATGAGGGATCTCGATAGCCAGTTAGTCGCGAGGTTACGTGATGCGTCACCAGGTCTTTTCCTAGCCTGTGCAGCTTCGACCATTACTGCTGTTCTTCTCTCTTTGATATCTTCTTTTATCGCCTGTCTACATTGTTTTGCAAGTTCGGACATTAGTTCGCGGTTGCGTGCAGCTCGTGAGATTCCACGCTGGCGTATCAGCTCGAGTGTTTCTGGAGACAGACGTCTCTTGGTGACTTTCGAACTCTCAGCTTTCATAGCACTAACATGAAGATGTTGATTGAGCCGATCGTATTCTTCGTCGAAGGAGACGTTGGTCTGATCCCGCGTAGAATTTTGAGACAACAGCGACATCGGTTAGGCAAAATCTTCCATTTACTATGATGTGATCTATTTCGTTATGGTACTCTCCATTGGGGGATTCCCACGTCCAGCGTTGAGGGTGGGGCTTTTGGAATTGCGTTGAAGGGGTGGGCTCTTGACGTCTCGGCCAGGCCAATAACGTTGTACCTTATTCTTCTTCCTTGCATGAGCAAGCCTTTCATCGAGGACTCGGATGAAAGTGTACGTGCACCGTAGGTACAGATCGTCACTTTAATTCTTCGTGATCCAGGCCACTTCCATTCTCTCTGAGATTTTAGTAGCCTCTCCGTACTCGTCCTACCCAGCGCTGACGAACTGGTGGCTCTTTCGGGGTCAGGGGAATGAGGCCCGTTTCTTTTCGTGTTTTTAGCCTTTTTATACCCAAGTGTAGCTTGGTGGGCTCTGAACGTGGGGCTGGATATAGACACGGGTAGCTTACCAGGCTTTCCCAGAGTGCACATGGAGCTTATTTGTTGGAGGCTGTTCCTAACAGCCTCCCACATACTTCCCTGTCACTTGGTTGCAGGTTTTTGGCTGAATTGACTCATCGAATACAATCCGCATGAGCTAGAACGCACCCACACACGCGTACATGAATACGCCTAGTAAATACAGTAAATATGCGCCAAATCGGCACAACAGAAACAGGGAGTGCATCCACTGGATCCATCTGCATCTCAGTGAAGCTAAAATCGCTTTTGGTCCACGATTAACGCCCTATCCGCCAGGGCAAATACGGCAACAAGCAAGCCCTCATAAATCAACTATTGAGCAGGCTACAAAGAGCACAAGCAAATAGCGAGCGATTAGGAGACCAAGAAATATTGTGCGAAGCTCTCCACTCGATAGTCTGCCAACTACGTCATAAAGGAGAGCAAGTTGATAACATGTATCTCCAATAACAACTCCTGAAAAAGTTCAGGAAAAAATTCAACGACACGCTCTACGAGAAACACGGCATTGCCGAAACAACGAAACACCCAAAACATAGGAACTCTTCCAAGTAATCAACGACTACATAGCCCAAGAACTGACAATAGAAAGCCAACTAAGCACGTCTCCAGTTACAACAAGCCATCGTAACAGCACGTCGATTAAAAGTTCACTACTAACCACGAGTCATCAGCGAACACTTATGAAAAAACCGCAACTATGTTTCTACTGTAACAAGATAGGACACCTACCAATCGACTGTACTACGATAAAAACTCAACAGGAAAGAGTACAAGTGATAAAGGATCGCAATCTTTGCTACAATTGCGGTGCCTCATGCCACCGCCTGACCGAGTGCAAAGGAGGCCCGTACCGAAATTGTAACAAGCACGGACGGACACCATACTTCCATTTGTGTGTACCACAACATCTGCTAAGTGAACCTATACCGCGAAACGAGGAAAGAGGTCCAAGAGAGAAACCAAAACCACACAACCTAACAAAAGGGAGGAGAACGACCCTGCCCACGGTCAATACAGTAACTTCCAATGATACACAAGGCGGTCACTCCATTGCTCTTCATACTATAAAGCAATATGAATCCAGAGTACAGATTTGAGCGGCACAAGCAATAGTACCCAACCCAGAAAAGACTGAAAAGGAGGTAGTAGAAGTGCTACAAGATACGGAAGCCGATCGATCATTTATTAGTAACGATTTGGTCAAGACCTTGCAATTAAAAGAGGCGTACTCTACTGAGCTAGCAATTCACAAATTTGGAGATTCCAAAGCAAATGCAAAGAAATACGGAATCACCTCCATAATATTGCGAAATACTCACGGGGCAGAACGTGAAATAGCGGTGAGAAGAACTGACACGACCACACAGACATTAAAGCGCTGCAGCCTAAGTGTCGAAGATCAGGAATTTCTCCAGCGGAATAATCGGACTAACCCCATCGAGACTCGGCTACCTTATAACAGGAGCCACGTACAAGCAACAAAATAAACCAGATATTGACATAGTTCCCGCAGCCAGAATTTATGGGGTCCAAAAAACAAGAGCTGCAACAACAGAATGCGGCGATTTGGAAACAATTTCAAGAAGCGATAGAAAAACGAGAAGACGGATACTACGTGCGCCTTCCCTGGAAGAACAATGCAACAACGTTACCAGACAATAAAGCCTGTGGCAGTAAAACGAATACAAGCAATAATCACAAAATTTAAACGCGATCCCAAGATGCTGCAAGAGTGCCATTAAACAACTGCAAGTCAATTACATCAAAACATCATCGAAGAAGTTGACGAATCTTAACTATCGGACGGTCATACACTATCTTCCACATCACACCGTACTCATGCTGCACAACGAAACAACGAAAATAAGAATTGTTTACGACAGGTCGGCCCACACAAAAGAGGCTCCATCAATAAACGAGGTACTTCACCAAGGATCCAATTTCCTGCCTCAATTATACGATATTCTGCTTCGATCCCGCTTTGGCAACATCGCGTTAACTAGCGATGTCGAAAAAGCCTTTCTACAAATACGATTGCACTAACAAGATAGAGATGCCACACGATTCCTTTGGATGCGCAACATCTCAAAACCCTTCGAACAACAGAATATGGTCTCCTCCAGATTTACACGCACTACTTTTGAACTGAACTGCTCGCCATTCCTCTTACCAGGAACGATCAAGTATCATGTAAACAATTGTTCACGTGACGCAAGAGTTGGTTGAATATCTCGCCTACCACACATATGTGGACAACGTTGTCTTCACGGCGACACCAGTGCATGAGGCATTCAAGACGTATAGAAAATCGAAACAAATGTCCAGCGATTTGAGCATGAAACTCCGCGAATTTGTTACTAACAACCAACAACTCATGAAACAAATTCCTCAAGAGGAATTATAAAGAAACACCACCCAAAAAATTTTGGGAATAAAGTGGTATTCTCAGGAAGGCAAACTCTTTGTCTCATGTCAATATCCCGAAAAACCGAAACTGACAAAAAGAGCCATAGACGAGCAGATAGCCTCTATTTACGATCCTATGGATGGATCATCCCACTTACACTGAAAGGAAAATTGTTTCTCCAACACCTATGGAACTACGACTACCCATGGGATTCAGTACTTTCAAACGAACACCAACAACAATAGAACAAAATAGTACAGGATACCAATGGATTTGAAGCCAATATTCCACGAGAAATCATCCAAATCGGTGTTCCAACTAAACTAGTTCTTTTCGCAGACGCAAGCAAGCAGTGTATGGCCACTTGCGCATACATCGTCTCAAACAATGAATCTCAGCCACTCGTAGGAAACTCCAGGCTACCTTCAAGCAAGGATAACCCTACTATACCGAAACTCGAATTAAATGCCTAAACAATGGCACCACGGCTAGCTCAATATTCACCAAGCTCTAAAAAGCCACACCATCATCACAGATATAATAATCTTCCCATACTCTGAGATAGCTCTTAGCTGGATAAGATCTCAAAAACCCACAAACCTCTCATGGAACACTGATAAAAAACAGAGTAAAGGAAATACGACAAATGGTGGAAGATCTTCCCACACCAATCCAATTTGGTTACATAAATACTAACCACAACCCAGCAGACTGTGCAAATAGAGGACTCAACAAATACGAGCTAGAAAACCACACGTGGTGGAATGGACCTAAATTCATTAGGCAAACATTAAGGCACCATAACGCCAGTCTCTTCACTCTAACGCCCAACAGCAGCGAACCCGAGAGTTGCACCACCATACTCTCTGTCGGAAACTTCGAAGGTGAGCTACTGAATTGGGCACAGCCTAAACAGCTTTAATCGGCGTAGCGTACAATAGCCTATGTACTTAGGTACATAAGCAAAATAGCAATAAAGCTGCGACCAGAGTTGAGTCAACCAAAAATGTCAGACCGTTCCAGAACTCAATGCAACATCATCAAAACCTTACGTTACAGCACCAGAGTTTAAAACCGCACTCAAAATATTAGTTCGCAATCATCAACATGCTTATGGTGGGACGGCTAGATTATATAGGAATACCAAGTAGTTAAGATGATTCGGTCGGAATTTGCTGCTCGTCTTTGTGTATGCCACGCGGGACTTCTTGTAAGTAGTAGTCACAATGCCGAAAACCTCAAACTTGGGTAATTAAACCGTTTATCATAATTATATAACAATTATGGCATAACAATACAACTGTACAATTAATACAACAATGATACAAGCAATGAATAGGCGCAGCCTGATTTCTTGTGTTTAGGTTGCTCAAGAGTGAAGAGGTTGTCATAAGACTTCGACCACATGAGATCGATGTGAGGAAAGGATATGGTGATTTGGGCAGCATTGCTGTGACCTGAGCTAGTCAGCCATGGAGCCGTTTATATACCGTTTNAAGGACGGCTACCGGAAACATTTCACAAGCGTTGCAATCTGATAAGGCGATAGTCAAAGCATACGACTGTAACCGCAGATGTTTTTCATGAGATAACCGCCGACGAAATATTAGTCATAAGGTCACCGGAAGCCGTATTCGAAAATGTTTGACATAAGGTTATCAGATCGCCATGGAGAAAAGGTCACCGGAAACCGTATTCGAAAATGTTTGACATAAGGTTATCAGATCGTCATGGAGAAAAGGTCACCGGAAACCGTATTCGAAAATGTTTGACATAAGGTTATAATTAATTTACATAGAGAACATTCCAATATTCGTAAAGAATGTTCTCTATAATGCTCACTTTACCTCCCTCCCAGAAAGAACTATTACGAAATTGATTCCTTTTAGAGACAACGATGGAATCATCCGTTGTAGAGGACGACTAGGACATGCGAATGTGCTAATCGACACACGCCAACCTATCCTCATTATAAATAATATTAAAATGGCGGAAATCATCATACATGACGCACACCTGCCATTCCACTGCAGTACAAGCCAAACAATGCTCAGAATTAGAAAAAAATTTTGGATTGACAAATTAAGGAGCCTGGCAAGAAAAATCATAAGACGCTGCGTACCCTGTCA